TTGTTGAAATCACCAACAACTACAGATGATGGACCAGAGCCAGCTGAATACCTTGTTTGATTTTCAAAAGAACCATTTCCATTTCCAAGAAGGACACTCACATCATTGCTACCCAAATTGGCGACAACGATATCTAGTCGAGTGTCATTGTTGAAATCATCAACAACTACAGATGATGGAGAAGAGCCAAGTGAATACCTTGTTTGATTTAAAAAACCCTCAAAATAACCAAGGAGAATATCTATGCTACCAGTATCATTGTTCACGACGACAATGTCTAATCGATGATCCTTGTTAAGATCAGCTATAGCAACGGAAATCGAAGAATAAGATTCAGTGGAATACATAATTGGATTTTGGAAATGGCCGTTTCCATATCCAAGAAGTACACCTATATTTTCTATGCCATTATTAGTGATGACGATGTCTAATCGATTATCTTGATTGAAGTCTCCGACACCAACCGCATATGGAGAAGCAGAACCAACGGAATAGGTGGCTTGATTAGCGAAAGTTTTATTGCCATTGTTCAAAAGTACATCTATTTCATGAGTTCCAGAATTGGCGATAGCTATGTCGACAAATCCGTCGTCATTACAGTGGCCAATAGCGATTGAGTATGGATGAGAAGCAAATCCAGTTGAAAACGTGGTTTGTTTTTCAAAAGTTCTGTTACTATTCCCAAAAAGTACGCCAACATTATTCGTACCATAATTGGCGATGGCAAGGTCTAAATAGTTGTCGTTATTGAAATCTCCAGCGGCTAATGAGGATGGAAGGGAATCATAACCTGTTGAATACGTAGTTGGAGGCGAAAAATTTCCATGGCCATACCCATAGAATATACTAACACTATGAGTTCCGTAATTCGCGGTGGCAACATCAAGTAGTGAGTCATTGTCGAAATCAACGGCAATAATTGCTATCGGACGAGATGAACCTGTTGAAAGTTCTATTTGACTTGCAAAAGATGCATCCCCAAGTCCATGAAAGATCCCGATATTGTTAGAAATCGTTCACATTTGATATCATCATTCTCTGTGCATTATTGAAGGACCTTTCTTAGTCTACATCGCTAATTGCTATGGGAGCGGTGCTTGATCTGTTAGATGAGGGTGTGGGTGTGGGATCTGGGTGTCAAGTGTTTCTTAAGGCACACCCATACCTACACCCACCCACACCCACACCCCACCCACACCCACACCCACACCCACACCCACATCCACACCCACATCCACACCCACACCCACACCCCATCGACACCCACACCCACACCCTATATACGCCTTTACCATATATTTATCAATTCAGGGTAAGAATCAATCAATTTCTAATCAAGTTCATTTAGCACATTGGTCGAAAATACCAGCAGAATCAAAAACTTTCAGGGTATATCAATGAGTCTTGCATAAAATATAACATTTGATAAAAATCAAAACATTACTTCGTAATTTTTTGTGGAAGATTATTTAGTAGTAGTAGTAGTAGTATATTACTTTTTTTATCGTACGAAGTGGAGAATAAATGGTATCGTAAAGAGTAGATCGAGAACGACTTAGACGAACATCGCCTCTGCAGTCTTACAAAAAAAACAAATAAGAATACAGTATTACTATATGTAAAAGAAACTCATGTGAAAAGAGAATACAAATCATAGATAAAAATTTACACAACATGGCAAATATTAGATCTCCCAGAGCCGTCACTCATAAGAAAAGTCTTAATAGTAATATATATAGGATATTTAACATAATAGAAATTGGTTCCGCATCTATATCTCTAAAGTTTCTCGGTGTTGATTTTTTGTTTTTCTTACAGAAAGCAAAAAGCTTGGTCAAAAAGAGATTATTTACAAGATGATAGTAGTGTCTTATACGATTTAATGTTCTTCCTCTTGTTACAGTTGCTTGCTTTTCCTTCAGTAAAGCAAGATTCAAGAAATATTCCCTTAAGAATAACAGTTATAGTTTATGTTGAATAAAATCAGCAATGATTGAAGGATTAGTACGAATTATTGTGGACAATAGTTTTGAGAAATGCATTTGTGTAAGTAATTCTATAGATTTATAAGATAGGAGGTTGATTATTTCATCGTTCGTAACATCATGCCATCTATGTATGGTGCGCAAAATTCTACGATTTAACACTTCCATTTGCGGTTGTGTTAAAGGAGATAATATTGGGTAAATATTTAAAACAGATTGGTAGTATGAACGAATATATGTGTAATATAATCGATACGAGATTACCTGGCATAGCATACTGCTGCTAGATAAACGTTTGCAAGCTACAATATTTTTAATAATCTTTGGCTGAATGTAATCGAGATGAAAATTGAAAGATAATCTAGCACCTAGAATGATACCACGATACTTAAATTTGGAAACTTGTTCGATGATGTGATTTTCACCATAAATAACAGGAATAATAGGAATATAGGTCGTTTTGAAGTTTATTGGTTGTTTCCATGTGATTGCCAAAGAGTACAAGTCTTTTATTACATTGGAAATTTGTTGTGAAAGATGTGGAATGAGTAATTGCGATGACCAAATTGCTGATGGTGACAGAACAATAGCAAAATCATCGGCAAATAGATGTTTAAAGTAGAGATTTGATACTGCTTTTAATATATCGTAATGAAAAGCAATCAATAGTACTCGACCTACGCAAGAACCCTGAGGAACACCTTTAAATAATGGCAAATCATTTGACTTGACATCTTTAATTTCTATAAAGGCTGAACGACCTATTAAATAATTTCTTAACCACGCAATAATGTACAAAGGGCAGTTGAGACGTTTAAGTTTGATCCAAAGAACTTTAATCCATATTTGATTAAAGGCAGACTTGAAACCGATGAATAACATAACAGTAGTGGTATTTAGTGCAAGTCTTTGTTGAATTTGATCAACAATCGATCGATTCTGGTAGACATATTATGTTCTGACCTGAAACCAGTCTGTTCCTCCAGTAGAATACCATTATCCCAAATCTATATCCACTATTGACGTTTTCGTCTTGGACAACAATATCATTGTCGCAACAAGCCAATGACGAGAAAAACATACATTTTGAGCCATAAAATTAAAAGCGGAAGTAATGAATGTCAGATGAAGTGAAGGTAGGAGTTTTATAATTCTGTTTGATACACCATCTAATCCTGTGGAGTTCTTGTTCTTTAATAATAAAACAGTTTTTTTAGCATCAATGAATTTAATACTAATACATTCTAATTTCGAATTTTTAAGTTCTTTATCCAGTTCTTGATCAACTAAATAAGCTTCGATTTCCACCACAGATTGATTATTTTCATGCTCAGAAAATTGTTCTGTATAAAATTGCTTGGCTATATCATTCATTTCCACTGGAGATGTGATAACTACACCATTGTGTAGAATACCTTCAATTGGTGGACAATAAGAGAAGCAATGTCACCGAGCTTTTCGCCAAAACTGTCGAATATCACATGAATTAAGAGATTTATAACATTTACTTCACATATTTCTTTGGTGTAGAACCATATCTTTTCGTATTTGTTGCGAAAGTAACTTTAATTGTACAATATGATATGGATGCTTGGTTCTTCTAACCAGATGTAGAAAATGTCGTTTGTTTTGTATTAGATCAACTATCTGAGGTGATATTGAAGAGTTGTATGATTTGCAATAAGATACGTAGGTTAATCAACAAGAAGATAAGAACAAAAAAACGTTCATAAAGACCGAAAATTTCGACTTTGTCGAATATAGTTGTAGATAAATTCTCCCAAATCGAAGATGTAAAAGTAATAAAGACTTCATATAATGTCCAATAAGTACGTTTAATAGGAAGAAAACGATCTTTCCATGATATTGTGAATGGGGATGACCAAAGGATAGGATAATGGTCACTTCTAATAGATGGAAGTACAGAAAAAGAACTAAAAAAAAATGTTCACAGGTGCTAATATAAGGTCAATCACTGCATTTGATCGTGTTGAAGTAAGAACAAATTTATTAATAACTTGAAAATAATTTTCATTTAACCATTCAAATAATTTAAATCACCAAGATAGTATTTGAATTACGACGTAGTATATCATTAAAAAGATTCAACGGTAGATTCTCATTTGGTGGAGAGTAACAGGTTGCTAATTGTACTTGATTTGAAGAATCTCCTATATCCAGAACAATAAGATTACAATCATTTTGAAAACTGGTGAGTCATTGCACTGGAATAGAGCGATGTATAGCAATTAAGACCCCACCAAATGCATTTGTTCCTTTCTGAAGAGAGAACTTGGAAATTTGTTAAGTACATTGAAAAACACTTTAACGTATCTTTGTCATGTCGTGTACCATTTAATACAATAACAGATACATGGAGTGAATTAAGTAATTCAAACAAATTATAATGATAGAGCTAAAGACTGCTGATATTCAATAATACAAAAGATAATTCACTTTTAACGTCGAGCATCTCCCTTATTTGTTGCCGTCGAATTTCACATTTCTTTAGTACGTTATTTAATGTTGATGTCGTGGTCTATTCCGAAATAAGGTTTTGTAAAATTTTGATTTGCTTTTTAGATAGATTAGTCATTGGAATCATAGGAGAATCTTTTTTTTTGTAGGAATAAATACATTAGCATTAGGATTCATATGTTGTTGTTTGATAAAGATCATGATTGGATGTTGTACGCTCGTGCGCACTTGTGTTGCCATCAGGTCCATCATCTATATTGTTGTTTGAAACAATGTTTTTCGAAATAAAATCTACTAATTTATTATACAAAGAAGATATAGTTTGTGTATTTGAACCTCTCGCTTTTAGGTGAATTTGATTTGAAATCTCTTTGACAAGTAGACATATAATTTCATAAATACAATATTTAATCCGACCAATATCATTGTTATGAGTATTTAATTTCATTGCAATAGTATCGAATTTTTCATTCAGGTCATCTTGTTGTTGTTGAATATATAACATTGTATTGTTAATTTTTTCAAACATATCGACAATGTCCATATGGTGATTGTTGTTGTTATTTTGTACGGTTGTTGATGTGGTGTTATTTGTTGCTGTTTTACTGCTGAACAAGTACTCTTTTTAATTGCCAGACCAGACTTGTTTGTGCTGTTGTTGAGCTGTTGAAGTGGATGTTCCATTTAATATTTTCAATCGTTGATTTTTTTCTTGACGTTTTCCCGACTTAATCGAACAACTTGGATCACCTACCATATGATCACCTTGGCAGTGAGCATATTTAATAACATTATAACAATTTGAATTATAAGGATGATGCTGAGCGCATCTGAAGCAAACTGTATTATCTTTGTTTGGACAATGAGCTGCAATATGATCATCATAAACTTGACAATTGTAACATCGTAGTATTCGAGTTGGTGGTAAATATGGTTCAACAGCAAATGCAGTGTTATCGTCATCTAGTAATATACTTTTTCATTTCAAAATCATGGACAATTCCTTTTACGATGAAAAGTCCACATGAACTTTTGATAATGAGCGTGAAACACGCACAATTGATGGATAATGCTGTTTTAATTCATTACCAAAAGCTTGCGCACTCCACTGATTAGGAACATTTATAACAACGATACAGTATGATGATGGTATTTTGTCTGATAAGTCCAGTTTGTATTTGGTATTGTTGATCATAGGGGGCTAGTTTGTATCACGCATCAGGTGTTCGAATTGTGTTACAGTGCTGGCATAAAATAAAAAACACATTTGATTTTTTAATGATTTTGAATATCGTCCATAGGTTAGGTTTAATTTGCAATGTTTATTTCTTTCTTTAACTATACCTAATTCTGTTGTTGGATATTGATTAACATCTTGTAGTGTAATACGAAATGGTGGAAATGCTTGTCATGGTGATTCACGACGTAATCGATTTGATGAATCATTGGAACTTTTTTTAAATTGATGACTAATATTAGAATAAGAAGATGTTGTTGTTACTGCTGTTGAAACTTTTGCAGTTTCTTGTCTATTATCACTTAACTTAGACGGATGTTGATCAATACCAATATTAAAATCAGGTGTTTTCTTCCAGTTACGTTTAGGTATATGACTTGCTGATTCATATTCATGAGGATATTGAACAGATCTTGTTCTGTTGTATGAGCAAGAGATTTGTTCATTTGAGCTACTCTGGATCAATTCATCTGGATGTGGATTTCCAGCACCATTAACTTCAACAATACTCATTCTAATGACTGAGTTAGTAAAGTTCAGGTGTGCCAACACATGAACACAAAGGTGAAGTATACGAAGAACAGTTAGAAGAAGGCGTGATCGATATCTATCGTATCGAGTGACGAATGAGGAAGATTATTTAAATCAGAGAAAAGAACTTGATTTTACTCCAATCTTGATTGTTAATGTTCTCTGTCATATGTGTATGATTAGAGTAAATCGATGTCAGACTTAGTAGTGCTAAATATATTCCATCACTGAACGAGAGTATTGTATATCGAGAGCACGATGTTGGTGCGTGTGCAGCAGTCTGTAATTTGCGCGAGACTGATGATTGATATGGTTGCGTTCCAATTGAGTCGGTTCAGTGTTCTTTCAAAAATTGCCGACTTAATCCAAGAAAATAGGATATTGTATTCGAATTTTGTTCATTGATTGTCACTTCTAAAGTTCCACCAAAAACTGCGTCATATTTTCTTACAAATCGCTATAAATAACCACCATGCATAACTTCATCCATTCAACTTAGAAATTATTCTAGATTCGCCTTGTTTGGTTTTGCAAAACAAGAAACAAAAAAGCTTATTTAAACCAATCTATATGAGAAAAACTGGAAAAATATTGTCAAGATCGTACAGAAAGTCTAATATACTCAAGATCGTAGAAAACCAGTCAGAACAAGTAGATTCTTTCAATCGTCTGAGAATCCTCATTTTCACAAATTTTTTTATGAGAGAATTCTGGATTATTCGAGTAACTTATGGCAGTCTTTGATCTTATTCAAATGTCAAAAACGTGAAGGAAATATTTGCTTTCGTTATTTAACTCATCGATAGACATTCTTAATGCGTATGATCGATGTCTGACTCTTATTCTTTTGCAGTCCAATTTTTTGTATTCAAATTTCTCAAAGTGATAAGAATCTTACTGTCTCAAAAAGCGCTAAGTTCTTTTTTGTCTCAAACAGTAACAATCACATCATCTCAGCGTCATGATTATTAACCATCAACTCATCTGTCTGCTTGATCATCCGCCTTGAAAATGAGACGACTGTGTGGAGTACATATGTTCACGCTGCTTAACTTTTCTCTAGTTTTGATCTTTCTATTTTTTAATCAATGTTCTCCTTTTTCGAGTACTCATCATAGATCTACTCTATTTTGTTAAATAGTATTGTTTTTTCACTTAGATCATGCTGTCTATTTTCGACCGATTCAATAAAGTCCGGCAGAATATAATTGGGATCACTCGATCAGCTAGCTGATTTCATACAGACACTGATTCGTTGCTCAACATCAGTATTGACGAGGGATCGAAAATAACAATCTCATTGAATTAAAGTTTAAGCATTCTGTGATACCAGCAGAAACAAATACGAAGAGTTTTGACAATACACTTTAAATCAAATTCTTTTCATGGAAAATAAACAGCAAAATAGTCCAACAAATGACATTCGTTGAAATCTGGATGTTCGTTGAGAATTCCTAAAACTATCTACAATCATGAAAACCATAAGAAAAATATCTCTGAGTAAGGCATGGGCATCGTTTCAAAGTCCACAAGAGCTGATCACTTATTACAGAAAGGTAGTTATTCACGTATTTTTCTCATTTGGCTCTTGAACACAAGATATACAGTTGTATGAATCATTTCAATATACAGTGAGAAAAGGAAAATATCGTCTAATCTGTTTAACTAAATCAGATGTGCAAATAACAACTATGGAAAAATCTTCAAGCTTTTCAAGGTCAAGCCTACTTAGGTCCTATTAATTAGGCTTTGAGAATCTCTACTCTTGATGAATTTACAATCTACCACTATCTTTCATCCATATTTATGCATTGCAACAAACTTTTTATCTGCTATGCAGGCTCTATCTCTCCAAGGTCAATAGTTACAACACGAATATGAAGTACTTTACAAGATGACTATTTGCTTCGACCAAGAACTAAAACTGTGTATAGATTGGTTGGAAAAGGAAGTGCCTATGGCTGATTTCTACTCAATCAATCTTGTTCTTCAAACGAAAAAGACTATGATAGAATGTAATTGTACTTTGAGAATAGATCAGAATCAGTTAGAGACACTTGTTCGTCGGTCTGCTGGTCAGAACTATACGTCCAATATCCATAAACTTATTCATAATGTATCTTCATACATCTTATCTTCTTTTGAGAAAAGGCTTTTTGAACGTGTCTACGATCTTTGTGTTGAACAATGAATTACCAGTTTCTTAGATTTTGAAACTGACAACGAACAAAATTTGTTAAAACTATAGCCTATTTGTCATCCACATGTTTGCTGTACTCTCTGTCGAGACATATTTTCTGGATCTCTGCTATTAATTAAAAACACTCGCAAAAAGATACTGAAAGTGTCCAGTGAAGAGATGGATGCTTTGAAATTTCAGAAACGAAATGCGTCTATTGTAATTTGTAAAGCAGACTGAGGAAGCTGTGTACTTCTCTCAATAAAATTGATTATGAGAACTGAGCAAGAGCAATATTTAATGGGAAGCAAATTTGCTCTCTTCCTGGTTCGACTTCGCTGGAAAAGGAAGAAAAAAAAATGAACGCGGTTCTTCGGCAATTATGCAAGGATGATCTATTGGACGAAATCTTTTTTGGCAGCTCCATTTCACATTCGCATCACTTTCTGTCATGCATGGACAATCAAAGGTTCAGACGGATTAATTATCCAAATATATGGCAACACTCCTACTCTTTGATCGAACTGAACAACCTACTTCATTCATAAAACACCCTTATGAATTAGTGACGAAAATCCGAGCGTTTCGATCTTCTACGACCGAGACTATGCCTTCATTTGATCTATGAAAAGAATACTAGGCTACAGACGACATTGTGTAGAACTTAAATGAAAAACCGGATGCATTTGGCTGTACGAAACGTACCATTTGAATTTTTCGACAAAAAGTATAAACAATCGGATGGTGTTCCTATCATTAGATATTGACGTAACCGGAACCTAATCACAGCCAGTCACGATACCTTTTTATGTGGCGACATAATGGTTATGTTCTAATTTCAACAGAGAATTAAATATTTTATGTTTATCATTCTTTCATAATATGTCAGTATTCTTATCTATTTATTTTAAGTCAGAAAAAATATAATCAATACAATATTCACTCAGAACACTAGTAAAATATTTACACCGTATAAATATATTTTTAAGAGTTCACGTAGCAATATTTAAGAAAAAAAGTGTACTAATAAAATATGTTTTTTCTTTGTTGAACAAGAATACTGTGATTTCTAATTTTGAGCTTTTGGTGCGTTAATCAGGAGATTTCTCCTTTGATTAATCATTTTTCCTTTTATCTGGACTCTGTTCATTGCTATGCAGGCTTTGATCAATTAAAGGTTTGAGAAGATCATGATTTTTCCTCAAAAATATTGATTGATCCATTTTTTTCATGCCTAAACTTATTCGTCTATCTGTAAAAGTATTTTTAGAAACAGAAAATATCCTCTCTATAAAACACCAGTGTGCCTTTCGAGACTTACACGTGACCCAAATATATTGAACATGCCGATGTTCAGCCATGATAAGGAATTTCACATCAATTCTTGCAGATATTTTTATATTAAAACTGGAGGAGACCTTTGAACGCTGTTCGACACCTGAACCTAAGGCATTGATTGAATAAATGGATAGCATTAATAACTGCAATCCAAATTTAAAATTTACGATAAAATCTCAAAAAAAAAATGCTCCCCTCTGTGTTCTCTGACGTGCTGACAAAACGAGAGATCGTTGAGTACACAACACTAGATACGGATCCACGGTTCATACTTAGTTATAATCCTTCTAATTCGAATTACCTAAAGAAGAGCAAAAGAAACGGACAAAGGCGTTGAAAGCAAATTATTAATTCTGTCATATAATTTGCTGTAACACTTCCGATCGAAAGTTTATTGCTAAAAATTTTGCATCAACAAACTGCTCTGACCGTACCGAAAAACATTGCTTTCTTTTCCATCATATATTATTTACCAGAAAAGTTGAGTTTTGCTTATCGACAGCGGAAAGTGTGCAGTAGGCTACTATCAAATGTGCAGTTGCAGCTGAAGTTCATCAAATATTTCACTCCAAAGTAAGACTTTTTGTCGCTGCTGATGGACTATGATGAAGCTAGAAGATTAAACAAACTGGTTTACAAATTTTCTGGTGGATATCATGACTTCGTATAAATTTGAGAATCCGGCAGATTTCGGGGACAAAGAATGTCTCAACATCAGAAAGTGATTACAAATAACCACTGAGATTCTAAGTTATCAAAGTATACCACTGTCCACAGACACAAATTGAACTTCTCTCGAGTGAAAACGATAGTCAATGAAACAGTTCGAAGATGATGAAAGGGAAAGGGGCCTTGATCATATATGGGACCAAGGGTCTTCGTATAAATTGCGCAATAAGAGACATTTTGACTACGAAATTATTGCATCTCGTTCGCTGAACGATATGAAAGCGGATAGGTGTCACAAACAACATCAATGAATCATCCGAAGTTACGAAAAAATCAAGTTTCTCTTCTATTCCATTATATTGTATTATGGGAAAGATATCTGGATGAACTAGATAAATTCTTTTGGCTAATCATGAATGCACAGACTTGATGAAATACTGTGTTGTCAATGTATTGCAAACAGGATCACATGGGTATTGACAATGGAAATGTCATGGGTGATCACTCGTAGTAATATGTGAAAAGAGAACATGAATGAAAATGAATGCGGATCTGTTCAACGAAAGATTATTCATCCTTTGGAAATGACATTTGTGCTTAACTCTATATATCTAATGACTAGTTGAAGGAATATGTCACAATTGCAAATTGAATTGAATGTTTCATGAAAGTTAAATGAATATGTGACAACAACGC